TGGATAAACAACAAGGTCCTACTGTGTAGCACAGAGAACTATATTCAATGTCCTGTGATAAACCATAATGGAAAAGAATACTAAAAAAAGAATTATATATATGCATAACTGAAGAACTTTGCTGTATAGCAGAAATTAACACATTGTGAATCAACTATATTTCCATAAAAAAATAAAAATAAAATAAAAAAAGAGGCCAGTGACAACTCAGAAGAGAGGACTGAGATGGATTAACTTGGCAGCAAAAGGGTGAGTTAATCCAGAGAAAATATGTAAAGTAAGAAGAAAAAACAAGAACAGCTGGGCACACCAAGAGTCAGGAAAGTCACTTTCAAATACGAAAAGCAATATGTGTGCAATTTCATTTTTCTAACTCTGACCTAACACACAGATTACTCAAGTTGACATAGGTAGGAAGCCATATATATTTCTTTTTTTTTTTTTTAAGTGAAAGGAGGTTTATTCAGAGACATACACACTCCACAGTGTGGGCCGTCTTGGAAGGTGAGAGAGGCAGAAGCCATATCTTCCAAACCTGCTGAAGGTGGTCATACTTTATCAATTTTTTCCAACCCACCTTTCTACAAAGATTCGCTTTCATTGAACTAGGTAGGACAAGCATTATTATAAACGTTGTTGATCAGCCAAACCTTTATCTCCATTTTCTTATTTCTAATTGGTTGAACCATATCAAATTGTTGGTATTTTACTAATTTTTTCTAACTTACAAAAATGGACACTTCATACGTCCAACCTAATAAATTAGGGGTCATATCATCCTAGTGATCTTGTTTACCCGAAAGAGAAACTAAGGCAGTGTCATAAGACTCTCATTAAACAAGCTTGTGGAGAAATTAAAAACTCCTCTTATAATAATTCTGCTATTCTACAACAGGTATGCTTAGGTCATTCTGCTCCTTGGAAGCCCCTGAAATCATTCTATTCTTGGAGACCATTGGAGTTGCTCTCAGCCTGGGACAGTCTTACTCATGGTGTCTTTCTACCTACCTGATATATATCAATATATTCAGAGGCCCTGGGAACTCATCTCAGTCTTTGACCCTTCCCCCATCCAGGTCCGGGGATGTTCTGATGGGGAAGGGCACATCACCTACGGATTCACCAATACAAGGTTAATTGGCAAATCATTTTCCCTCAAAATTCTTTTAAGGTTTCAAAGAATGTTTGGGAGAAGAATTTCCTGTGGAATTCTGTATGGAATTCATGAAGTTATGAGCTTCTTTTGAAGGTTTACATTGTACATGTGAGTGTACTATGAAAGCTAGAAAAACGCAAGGTAGGTATTAATCATGATGAAATCAGCAACAAGAAATTGTTTTGACCTGCTTTTTTTTTTTTTTTCAAATATTCCTAGTCACCTAATTTGCTAAAAGCTAGATTTAAAAAGCCTCCACATTGCAAGATAACGCTTCCTACTGCTAGTCTAAGTGTATGCTTTCAATTTCACAGCAGTAACACTATATTAAGCGTTAAGGAGAAGTTATAAAATATCAAAATTCCAAATTAGGAAATAGTAATGTTATTGTTTGATGGAAGAACATAAAAACAAAAACAGAACACTCAAGTCAATCTTTCTTAAACTGTAACTTTATTTGGAGCAGAATTTTCCTTAAGGAAAGTTAACGTTTTTAAACACCTTAGGACAAACTATTCAAAAAAGGAACATTTTATTTCAGAAGGGGCATGAGTAAGTGGTTTTCTGTCCTCTTACCTTCCCATCATATGAATATTTGCTTTATAATTAAATATATTCTTAGTTACTCCCTTGTAATCAAACCAGGAGACTAAATTGCTGTCAGCATTGACATATCCACATCAGAAGACTGTTCAGGTCATTTTAAATTCGCATTAGCACAGTGACTATAAGAAACTGATAATACAGATTAATGTGATATTTGCTCCCAGTTTGTCTTCTATGGGTTTCCATGAGAAGGTCCTCACAATAAATTATATAAAATACAGTACTTTGGTTGGAAATTGTAAAAAATAATTCTAAAAATTAACCACATATATTAAACAAACAAGTTGCTACAGTATGCTTTAAATGATATAAAATAATTAGTATGTCAAACATTTTCTTATAAACATATTGCTTTGGATCATACATTGAGCTGAAACATACAGCCTGCATTCTTTTTCTCTCCTAAGTGGCACAAAACAATGGCGTGGTGCCACCTCATGAAAAAACATGGTGCCTGTGAACTCCAACAGTACTGGTAATTTGTACTTAAAAACAAAACGATTCTTGCGTTACATGGGTTGCCTTGACTGTATTCGATTTTTGATAACTCCGGGTGATGACATAGCATCAGTTTATTAGACGTATATAGTCCTTTAGGCAAGAGATGTGTCTAAAAAATTGCTTAAAAATCAGTTTTCTTCCTATTTAAATCATACATGAGCTGGGTGAGGGCTTAGTAATTAATGGCAGCTTATTGTCAAATTAACAATCACACCAAGAGTAGCTTTTACGCCCATGCAACTTTCCCTGCAGTTCACACACATACCCTTTGGCATACCACCGTCACTGAAACTTTGGGCACTGTACCATTTCCTGACGTCCCAGAAAGCTTTCTGCCTGGAAATGAGGTACAGACGTGGATAGGTACAGTTAAACTCATCATTCTTCTTGGTGTCTTGCAGTAGATTTTGTAAGTCTATAGTAACTAAAAATATAGGCAACAGGTAGCATTTCATTTTCACTTAACAAAATAATGGTGACTATTTGCTTCTATAGTAAACAGCTTGTATGCTCAATTTATCCTTTACCCGTTTCAGGGCGGGGGGAAAAGAGAACTTTATAGGATTTTGCTAGTTCTTTAGAATTGACATTGTTTTTTCAGCCTTCTAGTTTGCTCAATGCAGCGTCAGCTACTTGACTTGCAAATGAATAAACATGTTTTGCTTCCCAAGGGAAGTTGTTTGCTGATAAACAAATGAAAGAGGAAGAAGAAAAGTGAAATATTTTCTGAATTTGGGCCCTACAAATGTAATAGAAAAACAATTTTATGATGTGTAATAACCAGGTAACTGGGTTTTTCAATTAAAAAAGAAATGTAATGACCTTAACATAAGCTAGAGGGCCAAGAATATGGTATTCACAATCCATCTGGTTCTCTAGAGGGTATTTACAATCTAAAACCAGCTTTCCAGCAAGCTGGGTAAGCTTTCAGATTAACTTACTTTTTATACATAATACAGAAAGGGGAAATAAATATTAACCTCATAGTAAAGGACTCATCTCTGAAAACACATTTTCTGTTGCTTGGCATAATGAGAATATAATACAGAAATGAATTCAGCTTCAAGCTGTGCTTACATATACATCTTTATTTCCTGAAGCTTTGCCGCCAGTTTGTTAACAGGAAAATATTACCTCTCAAATCCACATCCACCATGTGCTTTTCTCATGCCCCAAGAGATCATGGTGCTTGATCAAGTATATTTTTGAGCCAGACTCTCCAAAGCACAAATTACTCCCTGATTTTAGGTGAGGGCCCCTTGGGAACCATCCTGATTTGTTCAAGCTGCAACGTATTATGTATACGTCAAAGCAAAGATTTACCAACTTATTAGGTTGAACCATATCAAAGTGCCGATATTCATTTTAACCTACAAAAATGACAATTTCATTGGCTCAACTTGCTATATCCTGGGACCAAATGAGAGTGACTTGAGCCCTGCGAGGAGGTGAGTCAATATACTCATGAGACTATGTCGCGTTTACAGACGGTGACCTTCTCTCTTGCCTTTCAGGCGACCATGAGTGGAGGCGAGTGTGCCCACAGAGGTGGATCAGAGCGGACGTTTTATCTTTTTCTGTCTCCAAACTAGCTTTGTCATTTTCAAAATTGCTGTAAACATTCCTCTCAATGGAACAGCCTCTGCCCACCATATAGAGTTCTCACTGTTGAAAGAAACTACACAAGGGTTAAGAGTTCTTTGAATGTGGCACGTGACAGACACTGACATCATATGGTAGCTGTGACTTCCCAGACCAGTGGGACCTCTGCCATCTATCTTTCCTGCTCCCCAAATTGCCATGAAAACCGAGCTAAATGCAACATTCTGAGGGTTAGGATAATAAAAAATCTTCTGCTGCTTTGAAACTTAGCTTTTGGATCACGCCTCTTGGCAGGGATACAGTTTAAGTGACCGTGTTAACCTTTACGTGGAGAACATTTTGGCTTGAAAAGCTTCCTTTTTGTGGGTACTTATACAAGTTGATTTCAAAAAATGGAAGAAAATAGAATATCATGGCATAGCTTGGTTTCAGCTGGATATCTCCAACCACCAAAAAGGGTGTTATAAACATTTCTAAAAATATTTACTTAGAGTTCTTTCATCTGGGGAGTAAAAAGAAAACAAAGCGAATTATGTAATAGTACTTTTAGAACGGCACAGCGGTATCAAAAAGTCAAACCAATAACATGGTACTGAGAACGGCAGATGGTCAGTTTTCTGGTGCTGAGGTCAGTCCAAAAAAGCCTAAAGTACCGAATATGCCACATTTAAAATTTAACCACTTCACAAATATCTGCACGCATTGAGGGAAAAACCCTTTATCGTGTAGCCTTAAATTGCACCCCTGTTGCAATACTGCATCATTATTATTCTATTTTTAAAAATCTGTATAAAATATTATCTGGAACCCCAAAGGAAAATCAATTGATCTTTAAAAACTTCCTTACAAAGTTGACTGTATAAAATGCTAAAACATAATCCATATATACAAAATGCTGCTGTTTAAGAAAATAATGGGACCCAGTTTTAGAATAAAATAACTTTGTACAAAAAAGGTACTGCATTCAAATCAATATTAAAAAAAAAAACTTTAAAAATGAATATTGAAATGTCTCAGTTCAGAAGAATAACTATAAAGTGTTTGCTTTTCCACCATCTGAAAGTCTCTTGCAGGTAGAACACCAGCTGGCTGAGGGAGAGTGTCCTGCTGTCCCCTACAAAGGGCTTCGTGACAGTCATCGCCGAGATGCATACTTAGCAGCCCAGTCTGTCCGGCCGTGCACGGGCTGGGCGGCTGGAGGCCGGGGCAGCGACCCGGGAGTGCTTCTAGGTTGGGTGTGGAAAAAAGGTCGCCCAGGATGAGGTCTCACAGCCCTCAGGGAAGAATAACCTGCAATGAAAGGAAAAGGTTGGTCTGACTGATACGGGACCCATGCAAACAAAGTGCAGCAAAGAGCATCTTGGTGACAGAAATATTAGCAAAGGAGAGTTCAAGAGCAGCCGCCTCTTCAGGGTCCTCCCCCCCAGTTAAGGACAACCCCATTCTATAGTGGTCAGGCCAGAATTACTGGTGTCATCCCTGACCCTTCTCTTTTTCTCAGGTCCCACTTGTAATTTTCAGCAAATCCTATTGGCTCTACCTTCCAAACCTACCCAAAACCTGGCCCAGGTCAACCATCACCACCGGCCCGGGCCAGCCTCATTCCTCACCTGGATAATCGTGACAGCCTCCTGGTTGGTTTCCCTACTTCCGCCCTGCTCGCCCTTTCAGTCTAGTGACAACAGGGCTTGAGTGAGCCTGGAGATAGAAGTCAGATCCCCTCACTGCCCAGCTCAGAACCCTCCGGGGGCTTCCATGTAGCTCAGAGTCATGATGATGTGCTTACGGTGACCTGTGGGGGGCGCCCCCCATCACCTCTGACCTCCTCCTCCTGCTACCCTCCCCTTGTTCACACCATTCCTGCACTCCACCTCCCTGTTGTTCCTTGCATCTACCAGGCCCATCCTACCTGGAGGATCAGGAACTAAGAGCCTGCATTATAGGGCTTGCTCGCTCACCTCCTGTAGATCTTTACCCGATGGTTCCTTTGCAGTGAGGTCTTCTTTGGCTGCCCTATGTAAAATGCATCTGCACCCCACACTCCCCACTCCCTGCTTTAGTTTCCCCTTAGCACTTCTGGAGCATCTTATTTGGTCTACTTATTGTCTGTAGAGTGCAAGTTCCAGGAGGACAGGGAGTTTTGTGTCTCCTTCACTCGTGGACCCTAGGCCTACAAGGTCCAGCACAAAGTAGTTGCTTGATAACTGCTTGTTGAGTCAATTCATGAATAATAATAATCTGAAATAGAACTTACCAGGGGAAGGGTCAGGTATAGGTGCCACGTGGACCCTCTGCACAGTAGAACCGATTTCTTTTTTCAGAAAGGAAGGGATATAGTTTCCAGCCAGTCCACTAGAACTTGTTGAGGTGGAACCAACTGATTTGCAAAAGGAAAAGCTTGTTACTGCAAAGACATGCACAGGACACCAATGAGGGTAAAGGACAGTGGGGCAGGACAATAGAGAACCAGGTTTTGACTTTCAGGGGAAAAGAATTAGGATAAAAACAGTGAATTCCGAGCAGAGCATTCTACCACACTACACTGCTGGAAACACTGGGGGATGGGGCGGGGGTGTGCAAAGAGTGCTGACCCTGTAGCCAGTACCCACAAGGAGGCTGGTAGGTTGGTTTGCTTAAAAAAAAAGGGGAAATTTGGAATTTTCTGTTTGTAATAATAAGTTTAAGCTGTTCTGGAATTTTCTTTTTCTGCTCCATAATATACAAGAGTTAGCCTTCCATGTCAGTATATACAAATTCCAGAATATGGTTAAACCATAACTCATTTAACCATTCTCCTATTGATCAGCATACAGGTTATGTTAATTATTTAGCTATTATAAGTAATTCTATGCTAAGTATCCTTGTCCAGAACCAGAAAATTAATCCTTATTAAAATATATTAAATATGTTCACTTTTTATGTCATTTCTGTCTTGAGACAGTTTTAAGGGCAGGAACTGCGTACTATTCATCTTAGTGTTCCAGGCGGTTCATGGAAAGCCTTACATATAGCAAGTAATCAATACGTATCGGATGGGTGAATGCGTATCTATAATGAGCCTTATTATTAAGGCTTCAAGGTGTACACGGAATAATGAAGAATGTTATACAAACGGAAGTTATATCCATTCGGAAGAGTTCATGAGGGGGAGAGTTGCTCTCTGTCTTCATAACACAGAGCATTCTTGGAAACTGCTCAAGGCAGAGCGGGAGAAAGGGTCTGGAGCTCATGTGTGAGGAGCTGTGTTGGTCAGCTGGAGCACATTTTGCAATTTTGGTGACTAGATAGATAAGAAGAAAAATGGGAAGAGAATTTGAACAAGGAAATCACAGAAGGAAAAAGACGTAGAGTCAGTAAACACAAGAGAAGATGATCAACCCTCATTAGTCAATGGGGCATGCGGGTTGAAGCCACAGTAAGATGCCATTGCACACCCTCAGATGAGCACCCGTTGACAATCTCAACAGTACCAAGAGGCATCAAGGGCAGAGCACAACTCCCACACCCTGCTGGACAGCAGCTGGGCAAAGTCCAAGATGAACACAGCCTTTAAGCTAACGCATTTACGTCATACCCAGAAACCTCACACGTGCACACCACCTATAGGGGGCATCAATGTTCACTCTGGTGCTCTAACTGTGAAAACTGTCAACAACTTACATGTTGATCAAGAAGAGAAGGAATGAATAAATTATGTTCTAAGTGTCCATCAGCAGATGAATGGATAAAGAAGACGTGGTATAGATATACAATGGAATACTACTCAGCCATAAGAAAGAACAAAATTTTGCCATTTGCAGCAATATGGATGGACTTGGAGGTCATTATACTAAGTGAAATAAGTCAGATAAAGACAAATACTGTATGATATAACTTATATGTGGAATCTAAAAAATATTAACAAAGAAACAAAATTGAGTTATTTGTAGTGAGGTGGATGGACTTAGAGTCTGTCATACAGAGTGAAGTAAGTCAGAAAGAGGAAACAAATACTGTATGCTAACACATATATATGGAATTAAAAAAAAAGATGGTTATGAAGAACCTAGGGGCAGGACAGGAATAAATACGAAGACGTAGAGAATGGACTTGAGGACATGCAGAGGGGGAAGGGTAAGCTGGGATGAAGTGAAAGAGTGGCATGGACTTATATACACTACCAAATGTAAAATAGATAGCTAGTGGGAAGCAGCTGCATAGCACAGGGAGAGCAGCTCAGTGTTTTGTGACCACCTAGAGGGGTGGGATAGGGAGGGTTTGAGGGAGACATAAGAGGGAGGAGATATGGGGATATATGTATATGTATAGCTGATTCACTTTGTTATAAAGCAGAAACTAACGCACCATTGTAAAGCAATTATACTCCAATAAAGATGTTTAAAAAAAAATATTAACAAACTAACGAATGTAACAAAAGAAAAGCAGACAGATATAGAGAACTAGTGGTTGCCAGTGAGGAGAGAGGGGCAGTATAGGGGTAGGAGATTAAGAGGTACAAGCTATTAGCTATAAAATAAGCTACAAAGGATATATTGCACAGCACGGGTAATATAGCCAATATTTTATAATAACTATAAGTGGAGCATAACCTTTAAAGACTGTGAATCACTATAGCGCACACCTGTAGCTTATATAATATTGAACAGCAGCTATACTTGAATTAAAAAAATTATATTCTAGTATAAATCATAAATCGTGGTATCATACACTTATATATATTGTATATGTAATACTATACATAATGTGATATATATTCTATGGATGTATAATTGCTGCATACGTAATATAATTATTAAAATGAGTGGAGATCCAGGATTATATGCATATAAATTTTAAAACATGCAAAACCATACTAGGTATTTCTTGTATACTAAAAACAAAGCATGGGGCTTCCCTGGTGGCACAGTGGTTGAGAGTCCACCTGCCGATGCAGGGGACGCGGGTTCGTGCCCCGGTCCGAGAGGATCCCACGTGCCGTGGAGCGGCTGGGCCTGTGAGCCATGGCCGCCGAGCCTGCGGGTCCGGAGCCTGTGCTCCGCAACGGGAGAGGCCACAGCAGTGAGAGGCCCACGAACAGCAAAAAAAACCCCCCAAACCCCCAAAAAACATGAACATGCAATGGACAAAGGCAGGGAGAAGAGAAGCCCAGATGTTTACTTGGCATGTGGAAGGGGAAGCAGCCCACAGCAGGGGAAGCTGTCTACGGGGCACGGGGTGTGTCTGCCTGGAGGACCTCTGAAATTCATCCGTCTATTATAAAAAGAGTAGGCAGGGGCTTCCAAACCGTCCACCTTCCAACCAGAAGGGGTTCTGATGCCCCGGGCTAAGGCTGGGCCATCAGACAGAAGGGAGAAGCCAGAGCAAGGCAGACCCAGTGAAGTGTGACCCTGGAGGTCGCCCACCACAGAGCAGGGCCTCGGAATCCAGACCCGTAAGACTGTTTTTCCCTCGCACCAGGGAAGACTGCTCTCGTCCCCAGCTACTCTTGACGGCGGAGCCCGAGGGAACTGGCGGAGTCCCCAAGGCCTGCTGCCAGGTGAGAGAGGGCAGCACGAGCCTGGAAAAGAGGCCCAGGGTTTTCACGCCAGAGAGGTCCTCGTGGTTCCACGGCTTGTCACCCTGCCACATCCAGAGAATCTGCTTCTTATCATTTAGGGGTTAATCATCATTACTCACCTGAATTTATTTTGCTGATCACTGATACCATCCCTGAAGATTTTCCAGACAAACCAGAACTAGACCATGGATTAGATGGAATAAAATCCTTTCCTGGATTCGGGAGTATGCCGTTTCTTATATTTATTCCTAATAGGGAAGAAATGTTTTTCAAATGCAAAATTTATATTTAATCTTGCATCACATGTCAGAGATGAAACGAATGCAGAATCCAATTTGTCAAAGACTTCCCATGTTTCAACAATCAAAGCAAAAACTGACCATGATGATGTCATCAGATAGGTGGCAGAGGAAAGATGCCATCTTCGGGGTGAGTGTGCTGTCTCACTGGTGGGTGGCCTGACAGACTTCAACTTCTACCAACATATCTGGGCACGTCTGATGTCTTGACCACCTGGTGCAGTCCTGGGCTTCTGGGTCCCTTGGCCTTCCTACTCGTCCGCCTTCGCAGACCACTGCCTTTCTGTCAGCTACCCAAGTTCTTCTCTTGTCCCTCTACACCCACAAGCCCAGCTCTGCAGCCCTCTGCTCTCCTCTTTCTGAATTCTGAGATTCCATCCTCTCAACCTGACATGGACTATTGGAGGTGACTCTGGTCTGTACCAATGACCCTCACTGACTCCCTCATGCCCAAGGTTGCCTTGACTTCAACTGCAAGACAAACCACTGCCCCCCGCCGGAACGCCCGCTTCCCACTCCTATCAGGCCTCGAAGGTAGCTTTCAGAACAGAAGAACTCAATTCATCCTTTACCCTTCTTCGTCCCCTAGAGCCAAAAAGAAATAACTCTCTCTGCCTGTGCTCACCGCAGCTGGAGTCTTTGCCGCCCCATACCCTGTCATCTGGGAAGTGGCAGGCCAATCTCCTAAGGCCACAGGGCCAAGCCTGATGAGGTCTGCAGTATTCAGGAGGCCTGTTCCCAATCAAGAGTGGGGAACCAGTGCATCAGCAGGGCCTCCATTCCCCCCCCAGGTCTCCACCCTGGGTCTGAGCACCACTGTCCCCACCTGGACAACGGCAACAGCTGGTGGGCCCCTCACCCATGCAGCACACAGATGTCAATAAAAGCGCGTCACTCCACCAGTTACGACCCTTCAAGAGCTTCCAGTGGCTCATGAAATAAAATCCAAATTTCTAATAAGACCCTCAAAGATGCCTCACGCGTCTAACACCTCATCCTCTCTGATGGGGCTTGGGCCACATGCTGGCCTCTCACAAGCCAAGCCCTTTCCTGCCTGCAGGCCTCTGTACTGGCTGTTCCCTCTGCTTAGCATGTCTCTGTGCACGTGGGGTTCCTTCCCAATCGCTGGGGCCCAGCTCGGAGTCACTTGCTCAGAGAGGCCTTCCCCGACCACTCTGTCTAAAGTACTGCCTCCGCTCCCATTTCATCACCCTTAACGCCAGTTGTCACCATCTGTGGCTATGGTGTGTCCATTTATTTAGGGTCTGTCTCCCACCACTAGAAAATACGAGGGTGAGGATACTGTCTACAGGCTGCTGGCTAAAGTCACTGCATAGGCTGTGATGTGAATGGAGGCCTTAGAGGTGGGCAGCCTAGTGACCCCTCTTGGCTATTATGTCCACCAGATTCTCAGTGCCCAGCACGGGATGCTGTGCAATACAGATTTACTGATGGAATGAATTTGTGAATGAACGGTTGGCTAACACTGTACGCTTAGAATACGGAGAATGCGAAGAGAGGTCTGGGTACCCTCCAACTACAATGGTTTCACTTAACCCCTGTGGTACAGCCACATGGGGTGACTAAGCTCCCATCTGCTTTCCTGAGAAAACACACAGGGCTGGCAGTTTCTGGAGAGACCTCGGGCAAGCTGCCTGGTTCTTCCTGGTTACTCCTTCGCTGGGGACTGGACCCGGTTTCCTCTACCAAATTTCTTATCTTAGGCAACTACAGAAGATAAGAATGTGAAGCCTGGGAATTCCCTGATGGTCCAGTGGTTAGGACTCCGCACTTCCACTGGTCAGGGAACTAAGATCCCGCATGCCATGTGGCCCAAAAAAAAAAAAGAAAGAAAGAAAGCAAGAAAGAATGTGAAGCCTGGGCGTCAGCTAGTATTTCTTTGGTGGTCCCACCAGTTCGGAAGAGAAGCCCCAAGCACTTGCAATCCAAAACAGGATCTTTGTGAACACGGGATTCCAGGGACACGATTTCTTATCAGTGATCAGGAATGTTTATTACCAGGCAGGTACCGGGAGTGCTTCATGTAGTGCTGCTTGGCCGTCGACCTCAAGGTGGGCGTGTCGCACCGGGGATAGGATGTCTGGGTTGGGGCACTATTTCCGGTGCCCACGGGCTCTGAGGGCTTCAGGTCCAGAACACTCTCAAATCTGAGTGGGGAGAAGATGGTTTCGGTCAGCACGAGCTGGGCAGCTCATCGGACGTAAAGATGACCTCACAGACCCCAGATGCAGTCCGTGCACAGACAGGAGCCCACACTTGCCTGCACAGAGTCTCATCGCTCTGTCTCTTCTTGTTTTTCAGGTCAATCCTGGTGAACGATGGGCTGAAATCCGAGTCATCTAAGTCAGCCCAGCCATCAGAATCCTTTGCTAACCTGGAAACGAGACCCCACCTTCTCCTACTCTTTGGCTTGATCTCACCATTTTTGTGCTCCAGGCCAGTGAGAATTCTCTGTGTATACAAGGAGGGGGGGGGGGAAAGCAATACTTGGCATTAACGGACCTCACCCATGAGTAATTCCCATTCTGAACTTTCTCGGTTATGAAAGGGAGGGTTCTGGGGCGTTTCCTTCCCCAATATGCACTGTTTATTGGAAAGGACAACAGTGGAAAACACAGTCCCGGACCTGTGTCATTCATCCTGCACAGATTACATCAGTTTTCATTCAATGGGGACGCTAAGCTGTGTAAGATAAGGATTTAAAAAAAGAAATTTAAGGTACTTCTCACGTATGAGGAAAGTGGCTGGATGCTCAAACAGGGATCATCTCTGAAAGAGTTAGTGTGATTGACACTGTCCTAAATTGAATGTAAGAGAATATAGCTGAAGTGTCAGTCACCTGCTCTTTCGTAGAAAACAATGCAATTAATGCCTTCTTTGCCTTCTCAGTAGAGCTGGATCCTATTTAACTGCAGAATTAGCTACAGTAAGAAATTTCCAAACACCCACTGCTGCTGCCGGGGGGCGGGGGTAAAGTGGACAGTCTGGAGACACCATCCCTGTAACCTCACGCTGCCCTACTCGGGAGCCAGCACTCACTGAGTGAATGCTAATCGACAGATAAAGTATTACTTTTGCATAAAGGTGTTTGAAGATCAGACTCTCAGACAGCACTATAAGGCTAATGGAAACCAGACTCCCGTGTCAGATTGTTATCTTATTGACTAACACTCACTGTTTCCTTTTGAACAGCAAGAAGAAAAGAAAGAGCTGGGCTCCATCAACAGCCTGGCATTACCAGCGTCAACTGATGGCACCGATAGGAATAATGATCTACAAATATTAGTGGGGCACTTGATGATTTTCAAAACATCTTCACAAGCAGCAGGACCTTTGATCCCCCATGAACAGCCCTGTCTGGTGGGCAAGACAGGCATTAGGATCCTCCTTTTCCAGATTAGGACACTGAGTCCACAGGGATTGATAATAACAATGACTAGCGCTCTCATTATCCACCCCTGTTTCACAGATGAGGGAGCGAGGAGCAGAGAGGCCAGGTACCCTGCACAGGGTCACAAAGCTATGAAACAGCAGAGCCGAGATGTGAGACCCTAGTGATCTGGGGCCGCGCCCAGCCTTCGGCCACCACCCCACGGCCAGGCCCCCAGGCGCGGCACTGTAATTCACAGGCAGAGCCAGAACTTGAACTTAGACCTTTAACTCCAAAGCCAAGGCTCTTTTCACAATTCCATGATATTGCAAAGACAGATCTATGATAATTAGACCTTATCTGCTGAAAAAGAAAATATTTCACTCAGTAAGTAGGGTCAGACGAGGAACAGGCCAGACACAGGGCTCTCAAGCGAATCTTCCTGCTTACTGCCTGGGGATGCTTGGCGTGGAGGGATGGCAAGAGCAAAGGGCTTGGCTTGTCCTCTGGAAGGTGATCCGTCCTGGAAGCCTCGGCTTTGTAGGGGTACGTGAGATGCTGAGAGGGCTGGCTGGCTTGATGCTGTCTCAAAGAAATGCGTGTGTGTGGCTTGGTTGGGGGCTGGGCAGGAGGGACCGGCTTTATGTGAGGCGGTGGGGCTGCCTTTTCCAGACCGTCCTTCTGTGGTTTTCCTGAATCGTGAAGGCTCTGTGTGGTGCTGCTCAGGGGGTGCCCGACCTGGAAGTAAGGATATCGAAGAGCCTGGAACGACACATAAGGCTGTTTTAGGAGAAGAATCTGGCCAGGAAGGTTGACACCATTCAGGGTTGCTGGCTAGATGTCACGAAACCAGTTTACTACAGTTGCTTAGCCCAAACCAATTATAAAACAGCATCCTGAATCTGTAACACCCTTTGTGAATTTCCTTATCTAAAATAGTGTAAAATGTACGGACTGGTTGCCACACTCAAATTACTTGGGCAAAGCACCCAGGTTCACTGCTATGCCCTTTGCTGCTTCTGCCAGTATCCTGGCTTTGTAACTTATTTGCTGTGTGTCTTAAATATAATATTTCACCATTCTAAGCCCATTTCTTCAGTCCATAGAAAGAAAAAAAATAAAATGGAGAGAGCCAAGGATAATGATCCAGGAGGACTCTGAAAAATCAAATATAAAATAAGCAGGTATAGATAAACAACAAGGATTTACTGTACAGGGAACAGTACAGCACAGGGAACTATCTCCAATATCTTGTAATAACCTGTAATGGAAAAGAAATGTATATAAAACTATCACTTTGCTGTACACCTGAAATTAACACAATATTGTAAATCAACTATACTTCAACTAAAAAATAAAATAAAATAAGCAGGTGCATCTGCTTTAACACCAGAAACGCCAAGAGTGTAATGAACGCTACAGTTAAACCTTGCCCATCAAGATAATCACGCTCTCTGGATCGCCGAGGGATAAATCTTAAAGTGCTGGGTTTGCAATTCTTTCTGAAATATCCCCTAGTCTTTTTGAGTGAAAGTCATTGAATACAACATAACCTTTCTCGATGAATCTGGGACATAGCTATAAACACCTGTAATGATGATAAGTGTAGATACAGAGGCAAATAACATGGATATTCCCATAGTGGTCCTGGACCCTGATATCTAACTCGGAAAGTCTTCTCTGTAGTCCCAGGTATTTTTGCAAGTCTCAACTGACTTGGGGGTATTTTTAGCTTTTCTGATACTATTCTTAAAAGTACACATTCCTCTCTTGGTTCCTGGGTTCCTTACAGAATCTTTTTCTTTTCATCTCTAAAAAACTTTTCATTGTAAAAAACTGGGTTCATCAGAAAGCTTCCTTCCTGCCCTGAAACCATTTGTTTCTCCAACCTTCTTGAGCCATCCAGGGTCTTGGCTGTTTCTTCTTTGAGCCACTGGACAGCTGCTTTTCTCCTATTCCTTAATCCCCCCAGCCGTCAGCTCTCAGCTCTCACAAATTCTAACGTCATGTCGGCCCTGTCTTCAAGTGCCTCTGTCACTGTCGCTCAGCCAAATCACTGACTCTGATTAGAACTGGTCACCTTTTTGATTCTTTGAGCAGTGGGATTATCAATGAGACAAGCTGAGAAGGGGCCAGGTAGAACTACCACAAAAAGAAGCTGGCAGGAGGCCTGGCGGTGTTTGAAGCCCATGGCACTACATGTCTCTTTTGGGTGCACTTTATAATCTAAGTCAAAGTGGCCTTGGGGGAGGGCGGATTGGGAAAATAGGAGGTATGGAATTGGGAAAACAGAAGATGTGTCATCCACGTGACAGAACTGCCATTGATAGTACACTATCTGTACTAGTTACTGGTGGAGTTATTAAGGCAAATCACTTAAGTTTTCTTTTCTTTTTTTTTTTTGCAAATCACTTAAACTTCCTGAGATTCAGTTTTCTCATTTATAGAATGAAAACAGTAACACCTATCTCATGGAGCCTTCATGGCGTTAAAATCACACAAAAACATACTAAAGCATGTGCAAACTATAAAGTTCTATAAAATGCTAATTACATTTATTATCCTAGCTCGCTCTCTCTCTCTGTCATCTGTAAAATGAGTGATTTGGATCTTACAAGATATTTTCACTTTGAAACTGCCTTTCAACAACCAGTACTGCCTTAGAAACAGACTGCTACATCATCTTAACTCAGAGAATATATCTGAAAACATCTGCCAAAGACAGGTAGATATATGTTTATTTTCATTTCCACGTATACGGTGACATACGACGTGAATTGTATGGCAATTTTCAAAGCAACTATATTGTTTAAACCTTAACTACTTTACACACAGACAGTTTTAAACTATTTTAAGTTCTTATCCCTTATATAGTTCACCATTAGTGGTATCAATAACTAGCTTTCACACATAATGCCTCATAAAATACTTCCCATGAGATTTATAGGTATTATTCACAGTTAGACATGAACTTCGAGAGAAACGCATCAGAGGAAAATGGAAGGAAACCTGACTAGCTGTCGGCCGTTTCTTGGGATCCCACTGCAGCGTGTCTCTCAGGAGATGCACTGCTTCGCTGCTGGCATTTGGAATCAGGGTCTTCAAGTTATTGGGCACACAGTGGGGCCAGCGGAAGTTCATAGCACTTGACAGTTGATAGCCTTCAGGCCAGTCGGTCTGAAAGAAGGAAAAGGTAGAAAATCTTGCTCAGCCAGTCGCTATGATCGGACTTTATATTCTGGCATGTATGCCGTGTCACTGCCACATCCATACTAACTATGGTGGTGGTGGCACTGTGGGTACTGAAATGCAGGAGGATGCTAACAGAGAGACACGAAGAACAGGCAGGCTGGGGAACAGTGGGAAAGACACTGGATTTGCCACCAACTTTTTTTTTTTTTTTTTTTGGCTGAATCACGTGGCTTGCAGGATCTTAGTTCCCTGACCAGGGATTGAACTTGGGCCACGGCAGTGAAAGCGCCAAGTCCTAACCACTGGACCGCCAGGGAACTCCCCACTCCAACTTATTTTATAACTTTAACACAAGACAGTTCACCTCTTGAGATTTGGGGGTTGAGCCAAATTAGTATTTTCCCAATTGCGTTCCATGAGACATAGGTTTTAGAAACTGCTAATGAGATTTTGGGGGGGGTAAAAATAAAACAAAACACCGTGTTCTTGGCCAAATAAACTTGTGAAAGCCTCCATATTACTATATCCCCATCTTGGTGAGTCAAAGTACAATCGCTTAGAAACCCAGCAGTCAGGAGAGCTATTAGTCTCAAGTCCTCCACTTTTTCATGCACCAGACCTACGGGGCAATCAGCACTGGAGCGAATGATGGAAGATGCTGAGCAATCAGTCTTTAAGATCCCTGTTAGTTCCAACAAACTCCTGTTTTATACGACACATTCTAATGTAATTGCTTTTTATTTTTTTAAAGTGACGTGGCAGAATATATAGCTTGTATCATTCATTCACTTAGAATAGTTACCGAGGGCCTCCTATATACTTAATGTTGTTGGGTATCCAAAAAATAATCCAATATAAATCCTGTCCTTAAAGATATTATGGTCCGAAAGAGAAAATAAGACATTTATTTTAAAAACACAGTAACACAAAATAAAAAGTAACAAAGGTCACAAGAGAGGTAGAGATACAGTCATCCAGAGGAGGGACAGATTCCAGCAGGAGAGTCTGGAAATCTTGAAGAGGTGGCATTAATGATTCCTTCAGATAATTTTTTTTTTTGGTGGTACGCGGGCCTCTCACTGTTGTGGCCTCTCCCGTTGCGGAGCACAGGCCCCGGACACGCAGGGTCGGCGGCCATGGCTCACGGGCCCAGCCGCTCCGCGGCACTTGGGATCTTCCCGGACCGGGGCACGAACCCGTGTCCCCTGCATCGGCAGGCGGACTCTCAACCACTGCGCCACCAGGGAAGCCCCCTTCAGATAATTAAAAAAATTTTTTCTGAGGGTCTGGTTTGTACCAGCTAGGATGTGTAAAATAAATGCAAAGAAACACAAGACAAATCCGTTCCCTGAGTGAGCTTATGGTCCAGGAAACAGATTATGTACACAGATGATATATTAATAACACAGAACACAGTTGAACATGAAGAGATTAGAGGAATAGGGAGGAGAAAGATTACGAGGGTCTTGGAAGAGTGGGATTGGGACACATGAGACATGCACTTGGCAGTAGCGGGAGATTCTAGAGCACAGAGCCAGGAGGGGTGCAAGTGACGGATAAGGGATGAGAGTTAGGGGGCTGGGCAGTAGATATTTTTAGGAGGGGAGGACAGTACCAGAGCTGTTCTTTAGGGGAATAAGTCTGGCCACAGACTGAAGAAACGCTGGAGGGAAAAGACTTGAAGGCAGAAAGACTGGGGAGGTGCCCCCCTCCCCAGACACAGGCAGGGCTTCAGTCTGAGATACTGGCTGGAGACAGCAGGATCTATGGGCCAACTGCTGGGATAAAGAGAAAGGGGAGCAAGGGAGAGAGGAAGAAGGTAAAACTGAAACTCAGCCTCAAGGCTGGGCTCTGGGATGTGATGGGACCACAGGCAGAAGTGGGGAATGAGCGAAGGAGGCTGGTTGGGGGCTAAACAAAAAGCATTCTGGGGCTCCCCTCGTGGCACAGTGGTTGAGAGTCCGCCTGCCGATGCAGGGGACACGGGTTTGTGCCCCGGTCCGGGAAGATCGCACATGCCGCGGAGCGGCTGGGCCCGCGAGCCATGGCCACTGAGCCTGCGCGTCTGGAGCCTGTGCTCCGCAACGGGAGAGGCCATGACAGTGAGAGGCCCGCGTAAGCAGTCTGGGTCAGATGTGCTGAGTTGGAGGTGAGGGTGAGGGTGTCAGGGAAAAATCCCAGAGAAAGATGTAAATTTGTGACCAGAGTTATTAAGGAAAGGGCGAGGGCTACAGATCACATTAGGAGACGTCTGCACGGATAAGAGTTGTAGCCACGAGAACGCACAAGCTCTGCAAGGGAGCGGACAGGACGCGGGCAGAAAAGCAGAGGAAGCCAGGAAGTCTTCCACTGCAGGTAGGAGAAGGGCGTAGAGGACTACCCAGGGCAAGGAAGATCCAGAACGAGCCGGTGCTGCCCAGGGCGGGGGGCAGGGAACACAGGAAGCTGCAGCTTTGTCCCACAGGCCTTCGTCCCACATCATTACCTTTTTGGGTGTCCCCAGCACTTGGCAGATTTTGAAGATTGTGTCGATCTCACTGGCCCCGGGGAAGAGTGGCCGGAGGGTGTACACCTCTGCCATGATGCAGCCCACGGCCCAGATGTCGATGGGGGAGCTGTAGTTTGTGGACCGCAGGAGCACCTCCGGGGCCCGGTACCTGCAAGACCAAGGAGACGCTAGTTGCACACCTGCCGGTCAGAAGCAAACTAAATACACAATCAGCTCCTCAGAGCGTTTCTGTATTTCTGTTTTCTGTCTAGTTCAGGGCGGTGCATGGACTCATCAAGCAACAGCTGTAGCTGCCGTGTAAAGCTGGACTCCTCTGCTTCACGGTTTTCTATGGAGCATTTCTTGACAGGCCTCTGCTCTATAGCATTTTCGAGAAATACAGACAGTGAGAAAGAAGAGGAAAAGAGCGAGTGAGAGAGGAGGGAAAAGGAGCGAGAGAGAATATAGAGCTAGTGGTCTGTAGGCTCTTCTTGGTCATGGCCAACTGCTTAAATCAAATTCTTAGGGCCTGAAAGTTTTAATAACACCAACTGGCTGATTTTCAGACAGGTCTTTGGAGAATCTTTTACACAACTCTTAGGAAAAGGTCTTCTGGAAGCTCTATATACAGAATATTATTTAGATTATGGAAAAGCACAAGGGATTTCCTTTTTAAAAAAATTTTTATTGGAGTATAGTTGATTTACAGTGTTGTGTTAGTGTCTGTTGTACAGCAAAGTGATTCAGATACATATATTCTTTTTCAGATTCTTTTCCATTATAGTTTATTACAAGATATTGAATATAGTTCCCTGTTCCCTGTTGGACTTCCTTCTAAAATTGTTTACAACACAAGCTTTTTTAAAAAAATTAATTTATTTATTTTTATTTTATTTATTTTTGGTTGCGTTGGGTCTTTGTTACCACGTATGGGTTTTCTCTAGTTGTGGTGAGCAGGGTCTACTTTTTGTTGTGGTGCGTGGGCTTCTCACTGCGGTGGCTTCTCCTGTTGTGGAGCACGGGCTCTAGGCGTGCGGGCTTCAGTAGTTGTGGCTCAGGGCTCTAGAGCACAGGCTCAGTAGTTGTGGCGCATGGGCTTAGTTGCTCCACAGCATGTGGGATCTTCCCGGATCAGGGCTCAAACCCGTGTCCCCTGCACTGGCAGGCAGATTCTTAACCACTGTGCCACCAGGGAAGCCCCTATAATACAAGCTTTTAGGCTTGGACAATGCCAACATTCCTACACATATGTGTTTCAAATGGTGTCCTTAGTGGAAAATTAGTATTTGTGACAATAATATTATCCTCAGTATAATCACATGGTCTTTAAATGGTCTTTAAAAATAAGAAATGCAAACATTAATATTATCCTCAGTATAATGGTATATTTTTAAAGAAGTGCAATTAAATCCTTTGAGGAAGATGGTACTCACCATCTGGTAGATACATAGTCTGTGTATGGAGGTCTTGATCGGATTTCTCGGGCCAATCCAAAGTCTGCAATTTTCACGAGTTCGGGTCCCATACAGAGGAGGTTCTCCGGCTTTAAGTCCCGATGGAAGAAGCCTGCAGAGGTGGTGGAGAAGGAATTCAGAGGCAAGATCGTGTCTGCATTACTCTTTGCAGCTGTATTGCTCTTTTCATGACAGTGATAGTCTGGTATGACATTGAAGGCTCTGTACATTCATCCCAATGGTAATGCAGAGCCCTTTGGACCATTCATTTCCCCTTGACAAATACAAAAATGTCGAATCATTCAAAAGTTGATCTTCATAATTTTTTTCCAAGAGAGCAAACTTCTTTTAAAATATCAAAACTCCATTATGGGCTGAGAGAACTTGGCAAAAATAAATTGTCACTCAAAGAAAAAAATATCATGCCTACCCTGCCCCAGTCAGCCAGAAAGAATTTGAGATTAAAACCATTTCAAAAGACAAGTCTTATGGCTACTGAGAGTTTACATCACAGCAAAAACACAATCACATTTTTTGTTTAAGAAACAAGGGATTTAAGAATATGACCTACTCGTATCTGAGATTCTGGTGTGTGTTGCAACAAATGTTTAAATGTCAAATACTGATTACTTTGCCCAGTAAAGAAGCACAGGGGTACATCTGTAATTCACATTGTGAAAGGCAGAGATAACTCACTGAATGGGAAGCCTGTCTCAGCTACCGCAGGGCTTTCGGGGTACATGTAGGAGAGACTCAAACACCCACTGATCAGCATCACATGCCTCTAAAGACCCCAAACCTTCCTCTTGCAGAGAGTACCACTGACAGACATCATTCTACCTGAGTCTAAGTCTCAATGGGTCATCAAAACCGGAAATACAACGGTGTCAATGCTGCTGATGGGGTTATTGGTTACCTGCCACCATTGCCAATGTTGTGAAGTTGGATTCTAAGGAGCGCATTTACGGGAGGAAGGAAGAGCTATCACTGAAGACGCCAGCTACTCACCTACCTCTGTGCCGATGCGCTCAAGTCTGCATCTCTAACGTGCCTGCTAAATCCTCTCCAGACATGTGTCTCTGATGGGACAGCAGCTGATGTCACTGTCACCCTTGCATTGACCTGTCCCAAACCACCCTTCTCCTCTCCCAAATTATCTCTCCTTCTTGAACGTTTGATATGACATCCAGGTAGCTTGTAGTTATGCTGGATCCATCTGTCCCCAGACAGTAACGGAGCTGTGTCACATTTTCCATCAAAATACCTCCTATCTGTCCTTTCTGCCCTTTCTCTGACTTAAAAATGTATAAATATGCAAGCAGTTATGAGAATGGGATATTTTGCCAGTGCATCCAGCAAGGCTCCTGTGGCCCCTAAAACATATGACCTGTGAGACCGATGGTCTCTCTTCCTAAACACTCAGAGCATCAAAAGCATGAAAAAAAGAGACGGCAGACATCATTTTCTTACAGAACAGATGGGAAAAGTGAGTCATGGGGGTAGCGGGGGATGAATTAGTCACAATCCTACCAAGAAGTGTGTCAGAGCTCTTGTCCTATCCGGCTCTGTTCTGTCCCTGTCGATCCAGACAGCCAAATCTTGATTTGTGGTGCTTGCTGGTCCTCTCAAGTCCAGATTCACCCTGTCTCTCCTCTTAGACTCCCTTTTCCTCCTCTAGTTGGGCTACACTGCTGTTTCCAAACTTCAGTGGCATTTCTCTGATAATGAAATGTCCTCCACCCCCAGGCCCCACTGCAACTCCCCCTGCCACCATCTATACAACACCCACTCAACAAACCTGCATCTCCTCCCTGTTCAGTTCATCCTATCACATCAACTATACTCAGATATAAGCATCATTCTTGGACTCCAGACCTTGGACCTTGCTTCCACCCAGGTCACGCTCCAGTACACACTGACCATCTCCTCCCATCGGTCAAGCTTCATCCTTTCCCTGCTAAGTCATCTTTAATCCTACTTCCACAGAGAACATGGGCACTAATGAAATGAGGAGAGAGAAGATTCTGGTTCCCCATTTATCCCTCTAAGCAGTTTTCCTTTCTATGGATCATACTTCAGGCCTAAAATAAACTATCAGAGGGAAAATGGCTAGGAAAAAAGTTTAACTGCAAACAGACTCTTTAAAAATAACTGATGAGGGGCTTCCCTGGTGGCGCAGTGGTTGAGAGTCCGCCTGCCGATGCAGGGGACACGGGTTCGCGCCCGGTCGGGGAAGATCCCGCATGCCGCGGAGCGGCTAGGCCCGTGAGCCATGGGCGCTGAGCCTGCGCGTCCAGAGCCTGTGCTCCGCAACGGGAGAGGCCACAACAGTGAGAGGCCCGCGTACCATAAAAAAAAAAAAAAAAAATGACTGATGAAAACTGTATTTGTCAGTTGACATATGTCACCTGTTAGACTGTATTCGAGGAAAAGCCTTTATAACTAGGAAGCATTTGTGAATATGTCTGTAGAATATCTGGCTCTCTGTTCTTTTCATTACTGAATAATAGCAATAACTATTATCAGCCTTATACCCATGAGCTCTATTCCTTGGTAATTTAAGGTATAAGACCCTCTTGTCATGTACCTTTACTTTTTTTTTTCTTTTTATGATTTCAATTATCTCTACTTTAACAAAGCATCACGATTTTATCACTATGAGAGGAAACGCTGCATAGTGGTTAAGTGTGTAGACCGATCAGGTTGCCTAATTTCAAATCTGGCTGGAAAATCACTTAACCTCTCTGTGCTTCACTTTCCTCCTCTGTAAAATGGGGAAATAACAGCATCTACCTCATGGGGTCGTTTTGCAGGATTCAACGTGTTAATATTTGTAGAGCTTTTAGTGCAGGGCTTGGCACATCTGCACCTTGCAAGAGCTTGTCACTGTTAGTAGTACGAATCCTCTCATTTTATCTTCCCCACAACCTGGCAAGGGGGACAGGCAGACACGGCTCCATTTGTTGCAGATAAGAATTAAGGCTTGTGAGGCCGGTGACGTGCTGCCCCATCCCCCCACCTGTGAGGAGGTGGCACTAAGTTCTGATCTGACTCCTGGCTGGGTACGTGTTCTGCTGATGTGTGCACTCAGGCTTGTAACAATGAGCCCACGTCTCCCTCTGAGCTTCTGATTCACAATGGAAACCCTTATTGCTGGGTTATTCAGAGATCATGCAACAGCAAAGTGCTGTTAACACAGAATCTTCCTGTTCGAAACTGTTTGGCTTTCAGAACACAGGAACAGACCACCAATTTAATTTCAGGGTACCCCATGCCAGTCGAATAACAGAGGGATTTTCTCTTTCATCCTGGCAGAAAATGCGTTGTGCTTCCTATTTTTATTAACAACCCTTGGGCAAGAAAAACATCAAGCCACAAAGAAGGCTTTCTCCCCTCCACATTCTGTTCATGAGGAATCTGATAGGAATATATGGAAATAACCAGAGAATACTTAAACATTATGAATTTCTGTAGCACACTTTCCTGCTAGGGAAGTTGTAATTTCACAGATATTACTGAATTTAAACCCACAGTGCTTTTATCAAGAAGGCCAGGAGGACAGCAACACATAGAAAGGCCAAGGGCTGACTCAAGGTCACGCACAGCAAGACAGTGGTGAAACATGGTAGCAGAGAACCACCTCTTGGGGCCAAACATTGTCCTTTAAGCCACCTAAGGCATTCTGGATTTCCTGCATGGATATCTGTAAGGGCAGGGCAAGGATGAAACATGGTTTGCATTAATTATTTAATTCCTGCAAAGTAGATCTGCTTTGGCATTGCTCGATCAGCACCAAGTGGAGCTGAGTTTTCATTCCCTGTGGGGGGGAGTAGTCACTGACATGAACCATGGCCATGGCAACCATCTGCAGCTCTGTTCTCTGCTCCCAAAGGAGTCTACTCCCAGGGACAGAATGCACCTTCTCACAGTGAGAACCAGACAACAGGGAAGAGCCTGAAACTCACAAGACAAATCTGCAAAGTGCTTTTGATTATTTCTTTTCCGTGACTGGAGGAAAAGAACAACATAAAGCTCCAAAGTTAAGTCAACACCGTATGAAAACCATTCAAAAATCATTTATCGGGCTTCCCTGGTGGTGCAACGGTTGAGAGTCCGCCTGCCGATGCAGGGGACACGGGTTCGTGCCCCGGTCCGGGAAGATCCCACATGCCGCGGAGCGGCTGGGCCCGTGAGCCATGGCCGCTGAGCCTGTGCGTCCGGAGCCTGTGCTCCGCAACGGGAGAGGCCACAACAGTGAGAGGCCCGCGTAACGCAAAAAAAAAAAAAAAAATCATTTATCAATGAAAACGAGATAGAACCAGCAAAATGAATATCCATCCCACCTCCAACTACTATCACCACTTTCTTCACTTCTTGTTCTCTGTTCTCTGTGAGAAGAGACAGGTTTTTCTAGAGAAGTGTAGCAAATGGGCACAGATATGGGAGTTAATCTCCGCTCTACTACTTTAATGCAGTGGGGCCTTTGGCAGGTATTTAAACCTCTCTGAACCTCAGTTTCCTCTTCTTTGAAAGGAATAGATACCATCTGTCTTCTCTACCTGAGAAACTGGCAAGGAAACAAATAAGGTAACGGATGAAATGATATTAAGCTCAAACTAGAACTGGCGCTTAGCTGGGGGAGAGTGTCCACAAGAATCTTAGGGAGAAGCATGGTGCTGGGGTTAGAAAAGCAAAGAAGGTCTGACCGTCCTAAACTGAGCTTTCCCTTCCACCATTTCTGAACACAATCGGAGTATGTAAGGTGTGCAAGGAAGACTGACAGTGCAGTTTCAAAGAGGTGTTTTGACACAATAATTTAGGGATGCTAAATTACTGGATATGAATATGTACTGTGTGTGTGTGCATACATGTGCATTTGTGGGTATTGGGGGGAGAGTGTATGTGTAGGTGCACATGTGCATGTGTACACGCAGATGTGTACGTGTGTATGCACAAGCATGGGTGCGTGTGTGTGTGTGCGCATCTGCGTTGATTTGATGGGATTTGGTAGAGACCTGGATAAAAGGATACAAGTTCTTTCTGGCAACAACTATCTGAGTCTCACAAAAAGCAACAAAAAGGAAAGGAACAGAAAGCCAACACATATCAACTTTCTTATAGATCCACCATGCCGTTCCCAGTACTGAGCAAAGAGCCCCAGTAACCGAGACACTATGACGGGTCCCTATGTGAAAACTTCTGGTTGACCTTTCTCTTTGGAGAATCCCTTTGATTTCTCACCATTTCTTTTTCCTGGGCTCTCAAACCTAGTAAGTGCCCCTTCTCCTCCTACTTGTCCCTAAAGACACCATACCAGAAGTTTTCAGCGTTTTGTGAACTCATACCATCCCTTGGGAAATTCTTGTGGCAAAAGTGCTCCTTCTACCCGTGTCAGTGGAATCAGAGATACCTTTTACTGAAAACTTTTTACTAGAATTGGTTCACGGGCTTGCATATCACTCTTGAATTTTTCAGCACATGCCCGCAGCTTCCAAGAACTTGTACAGACAGACTCTGTTTGTCGGTTTGTGTTTTGTTTGGCCTCTAAATGTGATGGCTGCTTAGGGGTCACAGAGCAGGCTGGGAAGGGTCCCAGACGTACCATGCAGCACAATGTCTTTTCCCCTCGCTGCCAATTTGCGTCAAATCTGAACTGACTGTATCATCAAAGGGCTTCTGCCCAGTTTCCTTATTGGGTAATGAAACTCATTTGTTGGTGCAATATTTGCAATGGCAATGATACCCTTAGACTGGGAGGGAACAGATTTCTGTCTGTGCAAGATCAGCTTGCCATCTGTCTGTGTGTCAAAGCAACCTCACATGGCCTTCTGAGGGACTCCGGGCTCCCCTGGTGGACACGTCCATCCCGAGGCTCTGCGTTCATGAGAACAAACGGACCCAACCCAAGTTGGGTCTGTGGCCAGTTAGTAACCCAGACTAGTAATGCCTCAGGACTTGCCGGAAATATAACCTCAAATGCATTGCTACTCAATACTGTTCAAAAGCTCAGCTAAGAACAATAGTGATGGAGGATTTCCTGAAGGGTATATGACCATCCATTCCTCTGGATGCCTTAAATCTCTCCCTGGACTCACCAGACCATCCCCAGAGTGAATCATACTGGGCCCCAGTAGGACCATTTTCTCTGATCAGGTGATGTAATCGGCCTATATTGAGGAAGATGACCTGAAACTGTCCCATGTAACTTGTCACTGTGTTTACCATAAAGTCATGTTACGTAAGGATCCATGACAGAAACCTCTCTGGTATCAGTACCAAGAATAGTTCTGCTTCTCTTGGGCAACTGAACTGTTTTTACCTCGGAGGACCCATGTAGGTTGTAATCGGCCGTGTTTCACGTTCTGCATATTGTCTGACAGCAAAACTCAGGCTCACATCTGTAGCCTGCTTCTTCTACTTAAGTAAAACTTGCTGACGTGTATTTTGTCGATTAACCTCACCCCGGCTATGTCCGTGCCTTGTTTTGCCTTTTTCTTTGCTTATTTTAAGTGTATTTTATTTTCCCAGATTGCATAGAACTTGTTAGACCACTTTGCACCCTTCCGAACGAGCTGAAATTGAAATACATTAAAAAAATGAAAAGCCACAGCAAAGCAGTGTTAGTTAGTAGGTTAAACATCATATGTGAAGCTTCTATGAGTTCTAATCATAGGTTCCTGATTAACACACCAGTTAATGGTCAGGAATAACTCTTAGATCTGTAACTAACAAGCTTAATGTTAAAGCCTAACGAATAAGAACACACAGACATGATAAATAATGAGGGAAATTCAGAAATCAAGCTACAGAAGATAATATATTCCAAAAGCCACTGTCAGCCTCTCAACTCTTCAATTTTTTTCTGGGAGTCAATTACAAAAGACACTGATGCTTCCTACGTCTTCTACCTGATGACAGCATTTCACCGCTATTCCAAAGCACAATACTCCAAATCACCTACCGTGTTTGTGAATAAATGCAAGTCCTTGCAATATCTGATACATGATATTTCTTATAGCAGATTCAGGAAACAACTTATTTCTGTATAGGGCAGAGGAAAAAAATGTTATAAATCTAGATTTATGAAATTTGTTAATGAAAACAAAGCCCCTGTTTTCATGTTCTTTTGGTTATACAGTAAGAATTTAAGGAAACACTTGCTGACATGCTAATTTGACTAGATCCTCTGATAATAAAGATCAAAGAAAAACAACTGCTTTCCATGTAAGAGAGCATACCTTACAAGCACCAAATCAGTTATGTTATAAAAAAGAAACGATCAAACATTTAATAACAAACCAAAAAAAAAATTACCTCCAATGTATCATATAAAAATCTCCTCTCTCCATAATATAATTAAAGCTTAAAATCTTTTGATGGGGAAAATCTGAGGTCTTTCAGATGAAGGGCTTATGAGATGCAGTGGATAGTGACATTTTCCCCTGGTTGGGCAAACCACACAGCTTCTCTGCTGTTATTGACAATGGAAATGATATTTGTTCACTGAAATCACCCAGAAGGATGCTCTGAATGGCATTCAACTGCCACCAGGAAAATGTGCCCAAGAGGTTCTATATGGTTTACTTTTCAAGTCCAAAATGACCATCAGAGGTAAGTTTTTTTTATTAGTTTCTTTGTCTTCCCAGCATGCGAGCCCTGTGCACTGTAGTAAGAAAGGCACTGAAAGGAACCTGGAAGTTCCGATGGATGGCTCAGAATGAATGAAGCTGCTACACCCCTCACTTGTGGTCACTCTGCCCATACAGTCCTGTTGAGGAGAGCTGCAGAGTATCTGTTATATCTCTGAGTCTGTTAGGGTAAATAACCCATTAAGACATTCAAGACGGCTGCACTGAAAGCAGCTTCTCTGCCGTTATCACAGGCCCTCCAAAGCAGCAATGCAGATGGGCAGCTTTAAACAGCCAAGGCCAAGCAGCATGACCACAATAAACAAAAGCAGAAAGAAAACACATCCACTTTGCAACATTTATTTCTAAGATCATGATGACCACACTGTACCTTTCTTTAATGAGTTGGTAAAGATTTTCCTTCATGTACTCAAAGATAAAATACAGATGATCATTTTCCCTGATAACCTCTTTTAATTTTACTACATTGGCATGGTTGAGCTTCTTTAAAGACTGAAAGGCGAAGAAGAAAAACAAAAAAATTAGAGCAAGTCTGTTGTTGAAAAAAGTAATTCCACATACACTTAGGGAGAAACACCCAACTCTAGAACCACAGAGTGCCACAATTCATTTGTTATTGACAATGTGTTAATAAATGGTATTTCTCTGAAGTTGGTATTAACTTTATGTAGAAAAACCATTTCAATTAACTGACTAGGAGGTAAGAACTTGACCATAACTGGAACTTCTGGCTGCCCCCAGGACCAGGCAGTGGGCCAGGGCTATTTTAGGTGCACTCCCTCCAGGTGATGGAATTCACGCCATGAAAGTGGCCAGAGGGGAGTCCATTGAGGCTTTGATTGATCTGATACTGAAGAGGCAGCTGCTGGGAGCTGAGATCACCAGCCAGCAGTCTTGCAGACACTCTGAACAGGAAATTGCTCAGACAGAGGCTGGCAGCCTGATTCTCGCAACTCTCTTCTGACACGTGTGTGTCCATGGGACGTATAGCGCTCCTTACAAGGTGAGTGTTCAAGGACGGGAGAAGGAGGAGCAATCTCACTGGAAAGACACTGAGGTGAGATGGGAGAGACACCTCTGCTTCCACGAACAGCAAAGGTAAAAAAGTCAAGCGGGGGACGAGGAACAGAGGGTGGCTCAGAAAATGGTAAGTGACCTTCTGATTATTCCCCACGCGCATGTGTGGTTTTCCTCCTCCTGGAACATACACGTGAGTGCAGCCATGCGCAAGCTATTTTCTGTTTGCATCACTGGCTCTGTCCACAGTGAACAAATACACTTTCATATTGGTGAGCAGTAATCCAGTTCATGTGTGACAGCCGGACACCCAACTGTGGGTTTGCTCACCAGGTGATCAGAATTTGATAGACCGTCTCCTTCAAGAATGCCTCAAGGGGTCACCGTGGCAGGGGCTTGAGCCCTTTAATTCAAAAAGCCTCTTCCTCATAGAGACGTGAGTCCGATAATAATAAATTGTAAAGCCCTCTTTATCTTTGAATTTCCTTCAGAGGAACATTCCTTCTATAAAACAAACAGAATGTCTGAAGATGAAAGTGTTAACATGAGTGTCCGAATCTGGAAGGACACTCAGTAACGACACACCCAAGGGATCAGAGCTGGGGAATGTGCAATATGACCGAGTTACTTCAAGCAGCTGGGAAGAGGGAGGAAATATGGCCGGTGAATGAGAACAAAATAAGACTCTTCTGGAACCTCTTCCCTGAAAGACAAGCTTTTGCCAAGTGCCTCTCTGGCAGGAAATACTCAGCTGTTTTGGCCAAATGGCCACAGATCCTTCCAGAATGACCCAACAGGCTGATTACTTTTTCTAGTTGGGTTGGATTTCTGGTTCTCCATGAGTAGCAAGCATTGCCTAACTTGTAAGCATTCACCAGACTCTCATGGACTGCAGGCGTCTTTCCTGCTTGTTTGCTTAAAATGTACCACCAGCAATGGCTGAGGTGTCCAGTGGATGAGTAGCAGAATGAACAGGGCAGATTCATTCAGAGGAAAATGAAGTCGTTTTCAAAGCTTTGCAAGAAGAGAATTCTAGGCAAGGAGTAGGACCGTCTGCTGCAAGTGTGTTTTGAGCATGAATTACTGGCCCAAGTCTAACAGTGGCTCCAGCTCTCGTTTCTCAGTGAGGCTCAGGGGCAAGTTAAAGTCTATATCAGTTTAATAGAAAAAGAATTAATTTAAAACATGAATTAATTTTGTGGAGGACTTCATGTGATTCATTTTCAAGAGGTATATTTCCAGAAAGAAGGCATCTTGTGTTGGCTTGGGAAAGGCTTCCAAAAAGATGTAGAGGCAGGACAGTTGTATCAGGCAGAGAGGGAGCACATCAGGGGGATGCTTCAAGGAGGAGTAATCTGCAAGCTCTCAGTGGTCGGTGAGAGTCTCATACACAAGACTTGAAGGAAGAATCAGGCTTGGACAAACTCGGTGGGAGGGCAAGGGCACGTCAGGAGGGAGACCCTCAGAGACTGGGTGTGGGAGCGAGTGGCCACCCAGTGTCGGAGGGATGAGAACTGCCCGGATGCCAGGTGGATGCCCACTGAAGTATTCTGACAGACCCTGGGCTTGAGACCAAGCTTCGCTGCCTAGAGCTGTGTTTCCCTCCAGCAAATTACGGAATCTCTGGGCCTCAGCTGTGCTCATCGGGAAATTCAAGATACTAAGACTTTCCTCATCAGGTGGTTGTGGGGATGAAATAAGACAGAGCACGTAAGGTGCTGCCTGGCCCATAACAGCTGCTCAGTAAGTGGTAGCTGGTGTGTGAGTGAACAGCTGAGTGCTAGGGAGATGAGAGGTGTGGAGAGTGGGGACCACAGGCCACTGCAATGAGCTATGGTTTCTGAGTGCAGGGGTAAATGATAATTAACACAAGAGGGAGAAAATATGAGCACTGAGGGAGGCAGAAGTTCTAGAAAATTCAGACACTGGTGTCCACTAAGCAGTTGGATATATGGGACTGAGGCAGGGGTCAACAAACTTTTCTGTCAAGGGACAGAGAGTAAATATTTTGGGCTTTCTAAGTCATATGGTCCCTGCTGCAACTACTTAGCTTTGCCAGTGTAGTGTGAAACCAGCCACAGATAATATATAAACAAATGGACACGGCTGCGTTCCAACATTCTTTTTTTCGTTTTTTACAAAAACAGGCACTGGGGTATTTACTGACCCCTGGTCTAAATGCATAAGAAAGATAAAAGATGTGATGGGGCTGCTGAAGCAAGGAGAAATGAATAAAATCACCCAGGAGGAGAAGCCAGAGCAAAGGAGAAAATTGCTGAGAAGAGAATGTGAGGAATTATCCATACTTAAAGGGTGAAATCATAGAACCACTGGTGAAAGGCAAGAAGAGGCAGAAGAGGTGGGTCAAAGCAGAGTCACAGAGACCTGGGAAAGGAGAGGAGGAAGTGGTCCACAGACAAGAAAATGTCTGAGAAGATGATCCTGGACTTTTTTAAAAAATCTTTTGGCCACGCCGCACAGCATGTGGGATCTTATTTCTCCGACTAGGGATCGAACCCGCGCCCCCTGTGTTGGCAGCACAGAGTCTTAACCACTGGACCACCAGGGAAGTACCAATGATCCTGGACTTGACAGCTGGTGGCTTTTAGGAGAGCAACTTCCGTAGAGTTGCAGAGGTGAATGCCTGATTCAGTTAAGTGGAAAGTCAGTGGTGGTTGGGGAAGTGACAGCAGAGGGGGTGCTCTGGAAGGTAAGGTCAGGAAGGGGAAGGGGTGGGAGCTCCAGGGGAGGGAGGGCTAAGCCTGGTTAGACAGAACAGTGGGCACATTGATAGACTGAAGACAAGGAGCCAGTGGAAAGGATTTTAAAGATATGGGAAGGTTTATAATAGCCAAAGGTGTCCCAGTGTCCATCAATGGATGAATGGATAAACAATATATAGTAGATCCATACAATGGAATGTTAATCAGCCTTAAAAAGGAAGGAAATCCTGACACATGGATGAATTTAGAAGACATTCTGCTAAGTGAAATAAGCCAGTCACAAAAATGACAAATACTGTATGATTGCACTTATGAGGTACCTAGTGTAGTCGACAGATAGAATGTAGAATGGTGCTGTCCAGGGGCTGGGAGGAGGGATTCATGGGGAATTATTGTTTAATGGACACAGAGTTTCAGTTTTGCAAGATAAAAAGAGTCCTGGAGATGGGCCATTCTGATGGGTGTACAACATTATGTATGTACTTAATACCACTGAACTGTACCATTTTTAGGTCAAATACGCAATTCTATATCTATTTTGAGTCCTTTGGGTTCTAGGATGGACACCTTTATCGCTGTTCTAACAATCTGGACTATTTCTCTGATTATCTACCTGGCAACCTGCCACTTCCCTTTGAGTTGTTGTTAACCTTAATGCATAGGCATTGTTTGCAGAAAATGTGCAAAGGAGCCTTCTCCAGAGATGGCTACAAAATGTCATTACTACATATGTTCAACTTCTGGATAGTATGGCAGATTTTCTAATGTTGTCCAGTTTGCTATGTAAACAAAATTGTGCAAAGCTTTAAAAAAATGGTCAAAAGGTAAGTACTATGTATATTTCATCACCATTTGAAAGAAAAGAGACACCAGTGAGAAACTAGTGAAAGTTGAATAAATCTGTGGTTTAGTTAACAGCACTATTACCAAGGTTTAAAAAGTACATGCACACACACCAAAAAACTAAAAAAAAAAAGTGCACACACATAAATAGCACAGCAATCTTCTCTCAGCTGTCAGCTGCATTATGTTATCATCTGCCTCCTTTTTCAACATCAGTGAAACAATTCAAACTGTATGAACTATAAATCTATGCATGTATAAAGCTATTTTAATCAACCATACCATAAATTATCCCTTTGTGTATTAATAAATACCTTGACCTCCCGAAGGTTCATGCATTCCTCCCAGGAATAAAACTTTCTTTTCATTCTAAAAGAGAAGAAAGAAACAAATAGCACGTTTATTCCCAGTAACTGGCTATGCTTTATCTTAAAAAAAAATGTTTTCATTCTGAACCTAATGAACAGTGCTTAAAGTGGGTTCCAATTTCTACCAGATACTATACTATCCAAAACAGCATTTTATTTAAAAACCTGGCAGTGCAATCAATCCTCCAGCACAAAATTTCCCAGCAGAGTTATCATGAGGGCATTGCAAAGAGGCCTGGACTGCTGTCTTGCTCTGTCACTAATTAGCTAACCCTGCCCTGGAGTAAAACCCCCCAGGCTTATTTTATCTGGACCAGAGCTGTCCAATCAAACTTTCTGTATTGGTGGAAATATTCTGTACTGTCCAGTATGGTAGCCACTAGACACAGGTGACTACTGAGCACCTGGCGTGAGGCTAGGGCAACACAGAAACTGAACTGTCAATTTAAATTTTAAATTTAAATTTAAATGATATATGATTACTTGCCACCATGTTGGACGGCATAGGGATGGACACTCCGGTACAGGGGTTGGCAAACTATGGCCCACGGGCCAATTCCACCCGACCATCTGATTTTATATAGCCCGTGAGACAAGAATGGCATTTATACTTTTAAATGGTTGGGAAAAACAAAGCAAAAGAAAAATAATAATTTGTGACATGTGAAAATGATCTGAAATTCCAGTTTCAGTTTCCATAAACGAAGTTTTGTTGGAACACAATCACACTCATTTGCTTCCATATGATACATGGCTGCTTTCCCACTACAACAGCAGAGCTGGGTTATGACAGAGACCACATGGCCTGCAAAGCCTAAAACATTTACTGTCTTGCCCTTTGCAGGAAAAGTGTGCCAACCCCTGGTCCAGAGCCTGAGGGGAGAGACAGACAGCCTGGTGAGCTGGCCAGAAATCTAAGGGTTCTCTCTTTCATGGCCCTTCAACCACATCGTCTCATTTGAATCTTATAGCAGCACCATGAGACAGATGGGATGGGTGGAAACTAAGAAACAGAGAAGTTATGCCATTTCACCAGGGTCTCATTGCTGGCTAGTAACAGATCAACTCTCATCTCTCCCCCTCACTCTGAGAGTCTGTCCCAATGTCACACTGTCTCCCAGCTGAGTGACCATTTCCTTTATTCATGCCCCAGATATATTTTAGCCCCTGCTACACATGGCAGAGGCCCAGGCACTGGAGATACAATGATGGGCAAGATGTTGCTCGTGGAACCGACCTCGGAGCAGGAAGGCAGGTCATCAATCGACTTCTGTGCTGAGTGCCATGAAGGGAAGAGACAGGGCACCATGAAAGTAGACCCCAACGTGACCTAATCTTGTCTAAGGTATCAGGAAACAGCCTTCCAGTGAAGTGGTATTTCAACCAAGTCCTGAAGGACCAGGAGAATTTGGCCTGGTCGGAGGCGTGGGGTAGTGAGTAGCATGGGAAGACAGATGGCAGAAAGGTATCTGGTGAGTTCAAGAAGCCAAAAGGCCAGTGTGGCCAGGACAAAGCAGGCAAGGGAGTAGTGGAAGGAAATTCAGCCAAAGAAAACAGGCAGGGGCCGAGTGAAGCAGCAAGTTGTAAAATTGGGGGCTTGACCCTAAAACTGATAGGAAGACATTAAAAGCTCTTCCTTTGGGATCCCTGAAAGCAGAGCCTGAGGCAAGGACTTGGGTGCAGGGAGTTGATTTGGGAGGTGATTCCAGGAACCCAGGGCAAGGAGCAGGGAACCTGAGAACAGAGAGGGGGAAAACCCATGAAAGGACACATTACAGAGCTGACACTGCAGTGGGCAATGGGGGCTCAGTCCTGCTGGGGACCTTCTGTGGACCAAGCAGGAGCACCTTGGTTGAGTCTCCCACGTGCACCTGAGGTGGGATACTGGTGGCGGGCACATCACTGCACACCCCAGCACACTGAAGTCAGGTGGGACGAGGGGACATGACAGGGCAGCAAAGAAGGTTTGGTACAATTGATTTTAGACAATTAGACTCATGTGTTTAATATAATCCCTTCAGGCTGGAATGGACAGGGGTAAGAATGGAAGCCAGGAACCCTAGAGAGGAAAGTATTCTAGAGGCAGAGGTGGTAAATGATAATGAATTGAATGGGAGGTTAGCAGTGGGGAATTGGAGAAGTAGGTGGGTGGATCAGATAAATATCTGGTAGTTAGAGTCTATAGGACCAGACGACCAATGCTGGGGCACAGGGAGTGGGTGTTGGGGGACTCCCAGGCTTTGCGGGGATAGAAATGTGTCATTTATCAAGACAGGCATTATATGCTGGATGTAAGTTCAGCTTTGGGTATGATGAGTGTGAAGTGTCTTCAGGGCATCCAAATGGAGATGTTGAGAAGGCAACTGGATATAGATGAGTGTGGCAGGCAGACTCTAAAATGGTCCCCAAAGCCCCCCACATCCTGGTATTCACAAACTGGCATAACCCCCCTTCTTTTAATTACTTGCTTCTAACTAATAGAATACAGCAGTTTGAGAGGATACCCCTTCTGTGATTAGTTTACAAATGCAATAAGATGTCACTTCCATCTTGCTTGAAGACTCTCATTGCCTTCTTGACTTCCATGTCCTGATGGAGCAAGTTGCCATGTTGTGAGCTGCTCTTTGGAGAGGCCCACATGGCAAGGGACTGAGGGCAGCCTCCAGCCAAGAGCCAGCAGAGGACTAAGGCCCTCAGTCCAGCAACCCCCAAGGTACTGAATGCTGCCCGAGTGAGCCTGGAAGTGGATCCTTCCCCAGTCCAGCCTTCAGATGAGATCCTAGCACCAGCTAGCTGCTTGACTGCAGCCTCATGAGAGACCCCAAAGCAGAGAACTCAACTAAGCCAGGCCCAGACTCCTGACCCACAGAAACTGTGAGATAGTTGTCTTAAACCACAATTTTGGGGGGTACACTGTTATGCAGCAACAGGTAACTAATACAATGGGTCTGGACTCAGATTGCAAAGGGCGAGTGGGGTGGCGGGAGCAAAACCGTAGTCACCAGACTATCACAAGTGTAAAGGATCCAAAATAAGTCATTTCATTTCTCAGTTTCAGTTTCCTTTCCTATAAAATATTTCTTAATCTGCATGTTACTACCTCCCCATATGAGAAGATCCTTGGAACAAGTACTAGAGCTGTATGCAAAGTAGTGCATCTAACATGGGGATGTGTTTAAGACTCTAACATGAGCATCCCAGAGTTCACAGTCATCTAACCCACAGCAATCAATGTCTGAGATACTACTCCATGCCTCCCCTGTAGAAACTTTTCACAGATGAGGAATGGAGAGCATAGAGTTAAAACTATGTTGACAATGTGTCACTGAGGATGGATTCCTGAGCATGAAGGATAAAACTTACTTTTTAATAGCAATCAGTTCCCCAGACTCGATGCTTCTTCCCAGCAGGACGGAACCATAGGTTCCATCCCCGAGTTGCTTGATGGTTGTGTATCTATTCATGGTGTGCCCGCTCAGGCCGGACACTCATCTCAGGGCCAAGGCAGATCAGTCCTGCAGCCGCAGCAGACCTCCCCGGAGTGTAACCAGATTTTTCTGTGGCAGCACCAGCACAAGGTATTCAATAGAACGTGACTATCTCCCAAATACATATTTTCAAAGATGAGTCTTCTGCCTGTAGAGAAAAATGAAAGACAAGGATAAATGTTAATGTACATTCTATGTCTGTCTAAATCAGGGGCCAGCTGTAACCCCCAGCCTGCCACCTGTTTTTTTTGTAAATAAAGTTTTATTGGAACACAGTCATGCCCACTCACTTGCATATTGTCTGCAGCTGCTTTCACGCTACACAGCAGAGTAGGTGTGACACAGACTGTATGGCCCACAAAGCCTAAGGGATTTATTATTGTACGCTTTACAAAAAAAAAAAGTTTGTTAACCTCTGGTCTAAATAATGCTCTTTTCCAATTTTTTATAAAATGAGACACAGCGTTCTTGGAAAGTGATTTTATCACTGACTCAGAAATGAGTCAGCTGCAATTTGATGCCTTTCTGCTGACTAACCACTGTAGGCAAACACGACATGATAACTATGGTCGATGGAAATTGCTGAGCTACAAGAATCCATGCTAAATATACTGTGTTCTGCTTAATTCAGCTACAATTAACAATGTAAACATACAAAGGCCAAGAAATGCTTAAATTAAGGTTCTCCTGATATAGAACTTACATGTGCTCCATGAACTGTTTGTGGCTAGGCAACAACAGTATTTTATTAATATTATTTTTATTACTAGATATTCAGAAACTAAGCAAAGAACTAGTAATTTTTTAAGGCCTGCATGTAGGGTGTGTCTCTTTTAAAGTCCTTCAGTTGTGTTCTTTAAAAAGATAAGTCATGGGACTTCCCTGGTGGAGCAGTGGTTAAGAATCTGCCTGCCAATGCAGGGAACACAGATTCAAGCCCCAGTCCGGGAAGATCCCACGTGCCGCCGAGCAACTAAGCCCGTGCACCACAACTACTGAGCCCGCAAGCCACAACTACTGAAGCCCACGTGCCACAACTACTGAAGCCCATGCGCCTAGAGCCTGTGCTCCACAACAAGAAAAGCCACCACAATGAGAAGCCCACATATGTGAGGAAAAGTAGCCCCTGCTCGCTGCAACTAGAGAAAGCCCGCGTGCAGCAACGAAGACCCAATGCAGCCCAAAATAAATAAATTTATAAAGAAAAAGATGTCATTGATTTTTCATTTATAAAATTGAGTGTCATTCAGTCTGCCTATAATGAAGAAAATGCAGTACATAACTTAAGTGATTGCAATGCCTTTAGGCAAACAAACATTAATAAAATGTAAATGCTTAAATAAGAACACTAAAGACATTAAAAAAATACATCTGTCAAAGTACTAATCTGAAAAATCAAAAGATCGGAAAAGAATGATAGAATAAGTGACATTCTGCATCTAAATCGAGTCAATGCAGCTTCTCCTTCCAGAAGAATTCCAGTCAATAAATGTAGAAGGAAGGAGGGAAATAAGAAATTCGCTATTAGGCAAATGTCACAATTTGTTGCAGACAAGATTCGCCGATGGATGCAAATATTGGTCGATGAACGTTTGAGGAGAAACAGGCTATTCGCATAGTTTCAAAGTATCTTTGGGAATTCCCTGGCCGCCCTTTCACTTACCAGGCCCAGTTTCTTCGATCTCTCATTGGGGAACTAAGATACAAGCCAAATGGAGCAGCCCAAAAAACAAAGTATCTTTAAGACATTCATTAACGTCAAAGGGAAAGATGGTAACTCTACAGGCAGAAATCTAACAGAAACCTCCTTACCCAAGTGATCAAGTTCAACATCAACATTACTAAGACATACGACACCATGTACCCTGGATATGATGCTCTGAGGAGGGCACACCATCACCTCTGTGGTGTTCTGTCAAAAATGCAGAACCTCAATCCACTCATGAGAAGACGTCAAACTCAAAATGAGGGACGTGCTACAAAAAACTGACCGATACTCTTCAAAAGTGTCAAGATCATAAAAGGCAAGGACAGACTGAGGAACTGTCACAGATTGGAGGCAAAGAAGGAGACATGACAACTAAACACAATGTGAGAACCTGAATAAGATCCCAGAACAGATAAAAGACATTAGTGGAAAAGTTGGTGAAATTTGAATAAGGTCATAGTTTAGTTGGCAGCACTGTGCCCAAGCTAACTTCCTGAGTTTGATCATTGTCCTATGGTTATAGAAGATGTTAATATTAGGGTAAGCTGGGTGAAGAATTGCTAAGAACTGTCTGTACTATTTTTGTAACATTTCTGAAAGTCTAAAATTAGTTCAAAATTAAAAAGTAATTCTAGTCTATGTTTTTGTGAAGGCTTTACATGACCTTGAGAAACCTTAAGAACTGTAAAGGTTATTCCTGATTTCACCATATTCTACCATATAACTGGAAAACCTTTTAGATATCAAGCTTACTTGCCCCTCTCCCACTCATTCCCATTTCCCCATAGAACCATTTTAAGGTCCCTGGTTTGAAGAGCATTTTCCTTCTTTCGAAGCTCTACAGGATGAGACAACTTACAACTTCCTTCAGCAGCTCTTTACAGTGATAGATTCCATTGCTGATTAATAAATATTTATAAAGCACTTCCTGTGTGACCCTATGTTAATATCTGGGGCTACAAAGACCAATAAAATATGGTCCTTTTTTTTTTTTTAAAGATCTTAGTGTCTCATGGCAGAGGATGAGAGTGGGTGGATGCATACTCATGAATATGCACCAAGATATTTCATGTACACTGAGGGTACAGGATGTGGGGAGGGGTTAAGGAGAAAGCCCCCTGGCTTCTAACTTGGTTGATTCCACTTGGGCTCAGGAGAGCAGTAAGGAGAGTCTTCATAAAAGACTGAGTCTTGAAGGAAAAAGAAAAGTAGGTGTTTTGTAATGTAGGGGATTCTAGCATTCCAAGGAGCAGAAAAGAAGGCACAGGGGCTTGAATCTGGGGTGGAGGGGAAGGTGGGAGCTTGGAACTGCAAAGAGTTAACCCCAGAAGTTTGCTTGTTGAGAGCCTCAAATGACATTTCAAAAAACAAGGCTTTGACTGGATCCTATAATAAAGGAGAAGAAAACACTATAAAGGTCACTCATGGAAACAATTAGGATATGGATTCTAGATTAAAGTATTGTATCTGTATTAAGTTTACTAAAATTGATGCCTGTCCTGTGGTTGTGAAACAGCATAGTCTTATTCTAAGAAAATACACCCTGAAGGATTTGTAAGCAAAGGGCCATAATATATGCAAATTATTCTCAAGTGGTAAAACAAAAATTCTGTGTGTGTGTGTGTGTGTGTGTGTGCGCGCGTGTGTGCGTATGTGGAGAGAGAGAGAGAGAGAGAACAAACACACAACGGGGTAAAATGTTAACACAGGGTAAATTGGGGAAAAGGTGTATGGGTCTTCTTTGTACTGTCCTTGCAACTCTGTATGTTTGAATTATTCTAGACTAAAAGTTTAAAAAAATTCTCAAAATGGTAGAGGAAGGAAATCTTTAAAAAGATAATACATATCTTAAGCATTTTTTTCAGCCTAAAACATTTTAATGTAGGTTAACTTAATAAAACCTAATATGAACTTGCTCATAAGACAGAACACATCATACATCATGGCTCCTCCATTTCATGATTTGTGCATTGTGGACTGTTTTGGATTCAAGGTGTGTCTCAACATAACATAGAAAGAGCATTTGGGTCACAACATAAGCAATTTTGGGCTCTGTGTTTGTTTTCCCCTCTTTTTCTTTTTCATATTTATCTCCATCTATTTTTGATATGACATACGATTTCTGCATCATTCATAATTTCATTTTCCAACAAATTAAAATTCCCAAATCACTGTTGTATGTCATCTTCCTTAAAAAAAAATCACTGGAACTTTGATCTGTCAAAAATCAGCTAACTCATAAATTACATGCTTTAGTTATTTATTTTTTTAAAGTAGGCTTTGACCTAGAGACAATGGGAAGTCAATTAAGGTTTTTTTGGTTTGTTTTTTATAAATTTATTTATTTGTTTATTTGGCTGTGTTGGGTCTTCATTTCTGTGCGAGGGCTTTCTCTAGTTGCGGTGAGCGGGGACCAGTCTTCATCGCGGTGCGCAGGCCTCTCACTGTCGCGGCCTCTCTTGTTGTGGAGCACAGGCTCCAGACGCGCAGGCTCAGTAGTTGTGGCTCACGGGCTTAGTTGCTCTGCGGCATGTGGGATCTTCCCAGACCAGGGTTCGAACCCATGTCCCCTGCATTGGCAGGCAGATTCTCAACCACTGCGCCACCAGGGGTTTTTTTTAACAAGAAAATAACATGATCAGATTTGCATTTTGTAATCCAGTTAGAGTATTTTTCTTAATGTCCAACCGAAACCTGCCTATTCTAATTTAAGCTAATTTCCTCCCGCTTTGTTTTTTTTTGTGTGAATATAAAGAAACTATCTCACGAAAATGTGATGTACATCAAATTAGTAATCAAATGTGTATCTCTCAACCTCCTCTTGCTGTAATTACACAACCTTTCCTCACAGGACCTGTTTTCCACTCCTTTAATTATCTTTGGCATTCATCTCTGAATCCTCACACATTTCTCCATGTCTTTGATGAACTGTGGCAACCAAAACTTAATAACGGTCTACATTCCAGTAGCCTGTGGGCTCTCCCCCACTATTTTTGCAATGGCATTATATATAATAATAATAATTCATATCTATCAATTATTAATCATAGAAGCCTTTCTTTGATAGTTAGTTCCTCATCTACTAAAACTGCATAATTGGGACAATGTCTTCATAGATTATCAATGAGGAAAAGCTATCTTGAAAAAATTAAGAACTTTACTGAAATCATGATAGAGTGGGTCATTCATTCAGTATACAGTCACCCTATGATTCCTCCTTGTTACTGTCTGACACATTATCATAGAACAAAATTCAATTTCTCTGGCAAGATTTGACCCTCACCAA